GAGGCAATCCTTGACCAAGATACTCCAATCCCGAAAGGTCCCAAAGTGAGTGCGCCACTGGGCAGTAGAGAAACAGATGCTCCAAGGTCTCCGAATCCTCCCAGCAGACTGGGCAGCGGGGATGCACATGGACCTTCCTCTCAATCAAGGCTTCCGTGGTGGGAAGGATACGGTTAAAGATTTTCCAGAGAAACACCTTCAGCTTAGGCGGAATATGGGCATCCCACAGGCGGACCCAACTGGTCTTATCCGTCCAACTAGCCATGGAACGCCAGCGCCCTTGTCGCCTATCCAAGTTCACATCAAGGTGATAAATGGAATTAACAGTGAACAGCCCGCCAGCCGTATTAGTATGTCCTCCAGATCAAGGCGGGGAAGAGGTATAGCTTTGATCGCGCGGCAGGTCAGAGGATCAAACCATTAGCGAAGCTTACTCTCACACCAACGTCCATCTCCTAGACAAATAAGGCCCGCCACCCGAGGGTCCCCCCTACCCGGAGCACTTGAGGATTATAAACAGACGGCGAAGGATGCAAGCGAGGAATCCAGTTGGACTCTAGCAGAGGCTCTGCTTTGCCACTACCAATCCGCCAGCGCAACCCTTCCTCCAGCAGCTGGCGACCATAAAGAATACTCTGCCAGCCCCAAGATGGACGCGACCGAGCTTTAGCAGAGAGAAAAGACCCAGTAGGAAAATACTTCCCTTTGTAAACCTATGCCAGGAAGGACTGAGGCTCAGTCAAGATACGCCAGCCAATCTTGGCCAGGAGGGCCTGATTAAACAACTCAAAACGCCTAAACCCCATCCCCCCCTTCATGCTTGCTCCTACACATATTACGCCACGACATCCATCGAATTTTGAACTGTCGCTCAGTAACACCCCACCAGAACCGGGCCACATGTTTATCCAAGAGTCGACATAAGGCCAGGGGCAACTTGAAATATGACATAACATGCAAGGGCAGGGCGAGTGCCACATATTTAATCAAAGTTTCTTTAGCTGCCCAGGATAACGTCCTCTGTTTCCACCCGTGTAATCTCTCCAGCAACTTCTCTTCCAGATAGCGAAACGTAGCTACTTTAGAACGAGCTATTAGCGTTGGTAAACCAAGATACCTATCCTGAACACCAACTGGCCCAACCCCCAGAATCTGAGCCAAGAACTCCTGGTCCGACATGGTAATATTCTTACTAAAGAAAACATCCGACTTAGCCAAATTTACCCGCTGGCCACTGAGTTCCTCATATTCATTGAGCACATTGATCAGATTCTCACATTCTTGGAGATTACCCCTCAAAAATAGATAAGAATCATCAGCGAAGAAAAGGTGAGAGATTCGGGGAGCACGAGGGGCCACTTTCACTCCTTCCAGTTTACGTTCTGAAATGAATTTTCTGAGGAGAGCCGCATACCCCTCCGTGCAAAGGACAAACAACAAGGGAGACAGAGGGTCACCTTGTCTAATTCCACGGGAAGGTGTGAAGTACCATGAAGGGGTGCCATTCATCAGAACTGAAAACGAAGTAGTCTTAAGGCATTCATGGATCCAACCATGTCAGGTCGAGTTAAACCCCATCTTATCAAAAACCGCAAGGAGAAACGACCATTCGACTCTATCATAGGCATTTTCCATGTCAACCTTTACAGCCATGTACCCCTTCTTACCTTGCGTTTTTATTTTTAGATAGTGCATTAACTCATGCCCCAAGAGAATATTATCAACAATTTGACGTTCCCGAATGAAGGCATTCTGGCCCTCTGAGATACTTTGCAGCAAGAGACAAGCCAGCCGCTCAACCATGATCTTGGTTATAACCTTATACACAAATTGGCATAAGCTAATTGGCCGAAGTTGCTTCATAGTCTCAACATCGTCCACCTTAGGGATCAACGTGATCCAGGTATGATTGAAACTATGAAGCATCCTACTCGTCGTGAAGAATGAGCAAACACCCTCAGTCACAGAATCGCCAATAATATCCCAGAAGACTTTGAAGAATTTACTAGTGAACCCATCGGAGCCGGGTGCCTATTTAGAGCCCATAGCGAAGAACGTAGTTCGCACTTCACTAGGAAGGACGACGGCCGTGAGATTAGCATTCATTTTAGGCGTCACACTGTGAGCTATGGGAAGATCAACGACCTTCTCCGTCATGTTCTATACCTAATTCTCTGAGGTGAAGAGAGATTGACAAAATTCACCGGCAATAGCAGCCTTCCCCGTCTCCTCAGTAACCCAGTCCCCATTATCATTCCGAAGACCCTCCACAAAATTACGTTTACGTCTCGCACACGTAACCGTATGGAAATAGGAAGTGTTCTTATCACCCCTATTTCCAAGCTTCTGACGTCATCCCAATTTAACGGATGGAAGGATTTAAGCCGCTCAATTTCTGCCTGAAGAGTCTTTACATTACGCAGCGAATTAGTCGTACCCGCCCGACTCCAATCATAGAGCAAATGGCGCAATTTCTTTAGTCGCTCCCAAAGTTGAAACATACGGGATCCCTGGATATCCTCCTGCCAGACATACCTAACCATATCCCGGACCTCCGGATTCTTAGCCCAGCGGGCATCAAATCGGAAAAGGGAGCGAGAATGCCTGGCGTAAGGAGGAGCGCCTGATGATAAGAACCTTGAACCGTGAAATGTTTGACCAGAGTATCCGAGCATTTTTCAATCCAGGATTGGGAGCACAAAGCTCTATCCAACCATTCCCGAATACAAGCCACACCCATATGCCTGTTAGTCCAGGTGAATTGATCCCCCTGATACCCAGGATCATGGAGCCCAAGATTGTGGACAAAGTCACGCAGACTTAGAGACTGTGCCACATTCCACACATTCCCGCCATCATTCTCACTTGCTTGTAGGGTAGAGTTAAAATCTCCAATGACAACATATGGGATTTGGATGGCATCACAGATGTCTTTAAGATGATTCAATTGGAGGGCTCTCAGAGAAGCATTACAACTGTTATAAACAGCAATCACAACATACGAAAAATCCACTTCATTAATTTGAGTACAAATGCAGAAGTTGGAATGATAAAACACCAAGGCATTAACCCCCGGGGGACCAAGCTATTACTAACCCACCAGATGCGTCAATCACATCAACAAAGAAACAATGTGAAAGGGAAAAACCTAAACCTCGCATACGACGAGAGACTACTCTCCGACTCGATCTTGTTTCCAGAGAAGAACACAAGATCCAGTTTATTAGAATGAACTAAACCGACAGAAGTTTGGAACATGAGGGATGGTCCAAGTCCTCTCATGTTCCAGGCGAGAAGCCTCATTTATCCGGCTGGGGCCACTCAAGGCTGGCTTCCTCCACCTTAGTCGTCTCATCCTTGTCCTCGACAAATTGCTTCTTAGGGGTCGGACTCGCCGTCACCTCCCCCTCTATGTCATCAAAATGACGTTTTTTCGCCCCATTTCTTCACCAAGAATATTACTCCCATACTCATTGACAATGAGATCAGAATCAGTCACTCCTAAACGAGTCAAAATTTCATCATCACCAATGATCGGCTGGGGGGGGGGGGGGGGGCAGAGAGTGGTACTCCAAACGAGTCCTCCATAGTCAGCCCCTTCTCGAACGCATGGCTACTACGGGTAGCCATGGGGCGGGGCGGGTACCTCAATTCTCATGCTCCGCCCCATGCTACTACGGGTCGGGCCGGGTAAAAATCGTGCGGGTACGGGGCGGGACGGGTCGACCCACTCTTACATGTTGTTAAAAAAATACAAGTAAATTTTACTTTTTACAATAAAACGTAGGGAAAAACACTTTAAAATGAAAAATATTGATAATAGAATGGATAATTGTGCCTAACAAGTTGAAAGATCGACTCTAACTAGTTGAAGAAAAGTCAAAATAGGAGAAATATGTATAGATATTGTAAGAAATTAAGATAAAATGAGTCTAGAACAGGGCGGGCCGGGCCAGTGCGGATCGGTAGTAGATACCGATGCCCCGCCCCACGCAACTGCGGGTCGGGTAATACCCGCCCCATCACGGGTTAGGTCGGGTAATACCCGCGGGGCGGGTTGAAATTTCCATCACTACTCACCCGGCTTGACTGTGCAAGCCTTGTCAACTTTTTCATTTTCCCCCAGGAATTTGGCGCCGCAGCTCATAAGAGTGGTGGTCATCCTCCGAAAGAGAACCCTCCAAGGCCGCCGACTTATGCATTGCGAGTGGAGGCTACGACTCAATCGGGTCGCTCTGGAAGATTCCAGCCTCCCCATTCTCGGCAATGTTAGCCCGTTTCCCCGCCACCCTTAGCCTTCTTCTCGAGTGGAAAAGATTAGGAGGATAATCTCCATTCAGGGGGTTGTCCTGCAGAGGAGCCGCGACTGTGGGGTTCTTGGGAGCAACCGCCATTTTGGGAGACCCATGTGCATGTTTGACAACCAAAAGACGAGCATGGTTAGGCTGCTTCCCCTGCATGGGATCAGCTATAGGCTGCTTCCCTGCATGGGATCAACTATAGGCTGCACAACAAACTCCTCCTCCGATTCTTTTTCCAAGATTAGACGCCGGCGGTGTGCATTCTACAGCTCCTCCTTGCATTGTGCCAGCGAGTGTTTGGGCTTCTGAGAGACACCTTTGTTTTTCATCCCTGTCCCACGCTTGACCAATTTTCGATCAACAGGATCATCGGCCAAAGCCGTCTTTTCCTTATTAGGTCGTTGCCTGGGTGCCTTTTTGGGAGACCTTTCATCTATCTCCATTGGATTCTTCCCCAAATCCTTCTTGGCTTTGCCGCGCTAACTCTGCCGCCCAATATAGATTTTCGAGGCCATAGAGATCGGGAAGTGAAGCAGACTCCGGCCTTGATCGGTGCGCGGTGGCTCCACTGTCATGAACAGCTCCTGCGAAGTACCCATCCATAGTGGGCTAGGCGCCGCAGCTTGTGCCGGCACATCTTATGAGCCCCTGTTGGTCATAGGGCCAGGACCATGCGTCCTCCGAGGGGCAACTTCCAACGCACCCCGGACATTGTTATTAATCCACATCAAACCCGTAGGTCGGCGGAATTGCTGGTGATCACCCTCATCATCAAATATTTTCTGTCCCATCTTCTTGGTCGCCATGTGGGGACCAAACCGTTCTTTTCTTGCCGGAGGGTCAAAAAGACAGGCCTGGCGAGAATGTCCAACGCGGCCACAATTGTAGCAGAAGGTTGGGAGGTTTTCGTATTTGAAACGAATCTAGAAGCAGCCCGTTTCATCATTAGTAGCCATGATTTGGGATCTTAATGGCTTGGAGAAATCAATCATGACTTTAACCTTCACAAAATGACGATCAGTGTCGGAGCAAGAGAAAATGCCAATCTCCAAGACTTTCCCAAGGGTGGAAGCCGCTATTTTTCTACCAAATTGGTGAGTGCAAAAGTCATCCGACACATCCCACATTTGGACACGGAAGGGGGCCACCGCAAGCACCACATAAGTGTGATGCGTGACATTCGGGATCCAGGTCTGAAGATGAAGGATCCTATCATTAATGACCCAAGGAGTTCGTTGGAGAACCCAAGTCTTGGATGCTTCAGACGGGAGAATGAATTCGAACAGACCATGGGCTGCCTGCCTTACTGAGATTTTCCCATGTCCCTGCCATGGTTGATTGACAGCGTCCCGCAGTTCATTGAGGGATAACATGTTGTCCGAGAATATCCGGTCGAGAAGAATTCTTGATTTGCAGATCCATGCTGAACGGATTTCCTCCAAAGAGAATTGAACGACCTGGTCGTTAGTTACATGCGACATATTGGTGAGCTGCAAAAGGGTCAGAGCAACAGAGTCACAACCAAACTGCAGGCAAGGAGACAGATGCAAAATCGGCCTTGGGATAGGGGCAACAAAAGAGTTGATGTTTAATGTTAGTTGCTCATTAAACCATAAACAGTGAGGTGTATCATCAAGGAGGATCTCCCACCTACCAGACTCGAGTATCGGCCACTGAGGTGCTTCACAACGTTGAACCGGCAGCCCTACCATTTGCGAGATAAGCAATGAGGTATCTCCCAGATAGCAACCCGTTAAATAAGCACAAGAGTTCGACGTAGCCAGCAGAGCGGGTAGGTCGTCTGGGGGTGGGAGACTAGAAGATAAGTTCAAAACAGATAATTTATTGGATATTCCCCAACGATTATTGATACGATGGTATGGAATAATCCCGAAGTTGTTGCGTGAATCACAGAGATCAGTAACATCGCTACGATCATTTGCCGGATCACGTTTCTTCTGTGAAGGGCGCGGCCGGCAAAACACCACCTGGCGTTTAAACGCCGGCGATGAAGACACATTTTTCATTTGTCTCTTGCATTTTTTTTTGGCATAATGAAATAAGTAGTTCATGTTCCTTATACCTATTGAAAATTAGTGGGATGTTGGATGAGTGCAAAATGAGATCCTCTATAAAAAATTGGTTCAACCAAATCTTCGTGGTAAATGCATCTTCACATATTCTGTTGTTGTTGCCTCTTGGTGGGACAGGATTATAGGAACATAAGAAACCACCCTCTATACATTTGAAGCCAGCTACAATTATTTATTTATTTATTGTGATGACTCTTCAACTTATTTTGTAAATACTCCGTTTAATATACGTATATGTACCTGTACATATTTTATCTGTTTAAAACTTTTGTATCTGTATTATTGTCAAGTCGTTTCATTTGTTTTCTCATTCATTTGATGGCTACCGTGCTGAACACGTATAAAACCCGTACAACACGTTTAATATCCTTATTTAATGAATTAAATTGTTAACTTTACTATTATTTATAGATTTATTTATTTTTAAAATAATTATTTTTATATATTTATGAATAGTAACATACTATTAAACGTAACATTAGCTTAGAGACGAAATAACATACCCGTACATATTTTATACGTAACTTTCCCGTACTGTATTTTACTAACTATGGTCTTGAATAGAGGATTGGAATCGATCATCAGTTTATACAAGGGACCTATAGACTGGGACCAGATCATATTAGTATCCTTCCTATCAGTAACTGTCAGTAATCCAATCATCTGTCCCCACGTGTCAGCCTTTTTTTTATTTAAATTAAACACGGAAGGGCACTAAGGTAAATTGCACTCCTATTTAATGCTGACGCTGACGGTCTGACGCGCTGACGCTGACTTTTTGACCAGACGCGGATTCCCACTCCCCCACCGGTTCCCCTCTCTCTCTCTTTGTTTTATTTTATTATTAAAAGAAAAAATACATTATTTTTTCTCTCTCCCATCTACAACAAAAATGAATCTAACCATCCTAGCTATCTCTGTTCTAATTCCAACTCAAATTCAATGATGATTTTTTCGTTAAATAATTCAGTGCTAAAGATACTAATTACAATTATAAATATGATTATCACTTTCTACTATCATGGTAAAACATGGTAAAATATGTTGAAGAAAATTAAAAATCTAACTACAATACAATACCACATGGATTTCTCCCCAAGCATCTATAATCAATTCAAGTTTTACTCCCTCTGACGTTCATATTCGTCATGCGAGGAGAACCAGATCAGGGAGGAAACCAAAAAAATCAGCCAGGGCTTTTCTAAGGACGACAGTGTGAGCGATCAAAAGAGGAATTGGGGGTCTGGACTCTAGATTCGATCTGGAATTACTTGGAAGATTGCTTCTATGGTGGATTGCAGGTATGAAAGATTGATTCTCTCTTATATTTTGTGTCCCCGTCTTTTCCATTTCTCGCACCTCATTCTGCTTTTGTTTCTCTCATCTTCTTTTCAAAAACCAGCAGAGGTTGAAACGATCAACTGGCAAATTTTTTACTGGTCGGGAAAAGTTTCAGATGATATCCAAATCTGCAGGTTCTTTTTCTCTGTCTTTGTTGAGTTTTCCCCCTCTTTTCTGAGATGAGTTCATCACTCTTTCTTCCCATGAAGCATTTTTTATCGTTTTTCAGATGAGATGCCGACAAAGATTCCGCTATCATCAGAGATGCGTCATGGAGTTCCAGCGAAAAGCCAGTGAGACCAGGCGATTGCCTGGATGGTAACCCGATATCTGCTGCAAGCCCTTTGCCACGGTGGTCCACAGTAGTGCATCGTTCCTTGGCAGATCCGAAATTTTTATGTGATTTGAGCTTTCCGCTTGCAGAATAGTGAAATAATTAGCTTAGTGGGGAAGAGTAGGTAAGGATCGAGAGTTTGTCAGGTAAGGATCGAGAGTTTGTCAGTTTCTTCCTCTTTACTTTCATACTATGTCCTTTATTCTTTCTTTGTTATGGGTTTTTGCAGATCTAAAACGTGTTTTGCCACCTCAACGAAGACAAAGGGGTTGTGGTACACATGATCCGCAAGTTCTCATTGTTATCATCCTTATCTCCGATCTCCCAGGGTGAGGATAGAGTTGTTGGGTTTCAAAAAGCACAACTACGAAATTGTTTGATGTTCCAGAAGAACATATGGTAAATTACCTTTTCCCGTATGAGTTCTTTTCACCTCATTCTAGGCCCCCTCCTGTAGTCGTTGGACATGCATTTATCTATATTCTGCTGTTTTTTTTGTTAGCTGTTTGTGGGTTTTAGTTCTTCTAATTCAGACAGATGTTAGGTCGTCCTTGAAAGTGAAAATCCATTTGATGAAAGTGAGGTCAGGTCTTGGTATTCGAGTTCCTTGCATTTTCAGTATGTCTGTTATTTTGTCCAAGTTGTGTTCATGAACCCAACAGCACAACACAACACAACACAACACAACACAACACATACTTAAGTATCTTTGGTTAACATAACTAAGTGCTGCCTTCCTTTGTCTCCTATGATAGTAACTCACATACATGTTAGTAGTCATTCTTGGTCATCTAAATTATTTTATCTATCCAATGGTGTGCAGGCAGGGCCAGTACACCCAAAGATGATGAAATACATGTTCTCTTATTTCATGGCAAACTCGGATCGAAAAATCAAATGAAATAAGGCCTCAGCTTTTTGGAGCAGCGTTTGAATGGCTTGCATAATGCAAGCATGCGTTATGTTTTATCTAAGATGACAGAGATGATAAGTCATTTGTTGCCTTCTAGATGACAAACTTTTAGTTCTTTGCGATGATCTAAAAAATTATCGAGTTCTCAACTTTTGCCATGTACAAACTAATGGGTGAAGTTGCTTTTGTTGTAAGTAAAAGCCTATCCTTACAGCTGATAATTAATAAATCCATAACCAGTTCATTTTATATCCCACAAAGGAGATCATCAATTAGTTACTTTCATCATTTCATCCATGGGTCCCGTTTGGGAGTTTGTTTGCTTACATGATCCGACTTCATCACAAGTCACCCCTGGAACGTTGGAGCTGCAAAATCTAACGAAACTATGTCCCACTTTGAATTCTGGAATTTTAGTGGAGTTCTTGGTGTTGTTCCCATGTTCTTCATCTAAAATTTTACAGATCCAATGATAGATCCACCAAAATGAAAAAGAGAAGGCTAAACCTATTTGTTCACAAAACGACATATTGATGGTCGTTCCATTTATTTGCCAGGCCCAATAAAGGATGGGCTCATAAGTATAATTGGATTGTTGTTTATGTTCTTCTATACAAGTGGCCGAGCGTGTCTTTTAAAATAAATAATGAATTAGTGTTTGAAAAATTTGATTCTAAAATAGAGTTAGATACCAAAAATTATAAAAGTTGCCTATATAAAAATAAAGAGAACCTATCAAAAAAAATTATAAAATTTGATTCTTCTAAATACTATTTAACCACATAGTTAGACATGACAACGCTAATCAAACGAGGATACGCAAACAATGGAAACATTTATTCACAATTTAGTTTTAGAGATTTGGTCATATATTTGTTTGATATCAATAAAATCAATTTGTTTTGTTTCCTTTAGATAAACTTAAATATAATTCATATCCCGACGCGGAGCGCTGGCAAGAATACTAGTATATATAATTACGACTTTCTTCTCTCCCTTTATTGTCTTCTAACTCTTCTTCCTCGGAACTTGTGTCGATTACCACCCATTACCACCATGATAAAACTCGTGACTATAAAAATAAATTTAGTTAGAACACATTATTATATGGTATAGTGTGGTAATATCAATATATATTCTCAAAGAAGGGGAAAACAGAAGGAGGAAGAGAGAAAAAAACTCGTCTTCTGTCTCCTCTCATTTACTCCTCCGCAATTAAGAACACCAAATGCAAAAAGAAAGAAAAAAGAGGAGAAGATTGGAATTGAAAATTCACAAACAAATACTAAAACACAAAATATGCAAACTCGACTCACCTAGATCTGTTCCCTCTTTGACAATATGGAGCGTCATCTATTTTGAGGACGAGAAAAGAAAAAACAGAATGAAGGAGCAGCTTGAGAGAAGAAGGATTTGGAGCATCCCCGGATTTGAGGTGAGAGGCTGCAATTTTTCTTTGTCGATTGTTAGAGAAAAAAAAAATGAAGAACAAGAGAAGAAAGGAGATTTAGATATGGAAAAAGGAGTTTGGAAGAGAGGAAGAGAGAGTGTTTTTTCCCTTTCCTCCTGATAACGATGTAATTGCACATGTTTGCACCCCTAGTTCTTATCCGTTTGCGGGGCGTAGTCGTGTATTTTTTGCCTATTTTACGCCGGGTTGTGCTACTTTGTCATATTTCAGGTCCTTGACGTCGAAGGAAAGGCTAAGCACGAGTTTCGGGGCATTTGGAGGTCATTCGGTCGAGTTGGGGCTAAAGCACGGGCTGGAAGCCTGAAGACCACGGCCGTGTACACCAAAGAGCACGCCAGTGTTTTTATTGCCGAGAGTCGAATTGATGAGGAAAAACACGGGCTGGACTAAACAAAAACACGACCGTATTCCTGGACCGTGTTATTTATGCCGAGGCTTGATCCAAGGTGTTCCTGTGATGTCCCAAAACACGGACGGGAGTGACAGAAAACACGGCTGTGTTCATCTATAGGCACGACCGTGTTTTCCCCAGATGTTAGAGTGTTTTTAACACGTGGCAAGGGCACGGACGGGCAAAAGCAAAACACGGCCGTGCCCTCGACCGTGTTTTGCTCAGAGTCGACCTTTTTAGGAAGATTTGAGCCTAGAGAGAGAAAGTGACGAGCCTGACTCTGCAAGTGTCCTTGATCGATCTCCATCACCATTGGAGCGCGGTTTGAGCTTGGAGAAGACCTGATTGAGTGCCAGAAGCAGATTCCCATCCTTCACTATATGGTTTCCGCATCTGAGCTAGATTTTCCATCTCTCTCTATGGAGTAGCTTTCTTATTCACATGAGAACCCTAGATTTGTATGTTAGGTCTGATTGTATGAACCCAAGTACATATTCATTGATATGATTATGTTCAATTGAGGTTTGATTTGTTAAACGGCATGAATCCTGATCAAATTCCTGTTGTTTCTGCTTTAACCTAGAAAGAGAATATCTGCCTAGGTTGATAGAGCACCCTTGATTGAAGTTAGTGAATTGGCGGCTTTAGTCGAGGAGTCAATTCACTATTCTGTACCGAATTTACTTCGGTAGTGGAGGTTTGGTTCGTTAGGGCCTCAATCTGTTTACTCCGGTGGAGGTTAATCGCCCGCTGGAGACTCAGATTGAGAGGGTCTGGAGACCTTTTGTCGAGACTTCAGACTGTTTAAGAACCTCCCGCAGTATAACTATCACTGAACCTGAACTTGGTAAATTACAATCCGGCTTAACTGCAGTCTAGGGGGAACCATATCCGGGTGACCTCTCTCGACTTGAAAACAACCTTTTTACTTGCTTTGCTTGTTTGGACCTTCACTAAAAGTTCACTGCTAGATAATAAGAACTCACGAAGTAGTCATCACATCTAGGACCCGGGTTGACATTAAAACCCAAACCTGCTATACTACGCTTTAGGAGGTGGTTACACTTGGCCATTTTCTAGAGTGACAGTAGGAGCGAGTAACCTCCATTAAAAGACAACATATAAATGCTGGAAAAAATAATAAAAGGAAAAAGAATTAAATTAAAAAAATTGGACAAAAATGCCCCTCCTCACTTCGCGTGCAGCCCAACCATATGATGATTCCGTCCCTAGATTTACGGTCTTGGTTTAGTTACTGATAGCCAGTAACCATTGATTACCGACTCTATCTTAGACCCCTATAGACTATTGAACCAAGAAACAAAGCCAAATCGCTGCCAAATACGCGATGACAAAAACAGAATTTTACGAAACAACAAATGGGTTACTCTGTTGTTAGACGGAGTCGCTGACCAACAAACTGAAGAGAACCACCATCTAGCTGATCCATCAGAAGAGTAATTTCCTGCAGAATATCGAGCCAACAAATGGGACCTACAGATTATACATACAAGGTCATCTAGCCCATCGAAAATAGCCGCAAACCAAAAGCCCATATAAGATATTGGGGCGACCATTATATTTCAGACAATGCCGCCACCACTTCTTTCACCTTGCTAGTTACATGAACGGCTAAAAAACAAAACAGCCAGCGGTAAAACTTATAAGTTACAAGTTACAACAAGTGACCTATACATCTCATTTTACCCGGGAGTAAAAAAAATTGGCGTTGCCAAATTCAACCTCCTAAGAACTAGAGACGTTTTACTTTACACTCTAAAAAAAGTCATTTTCCCAGTCGCCATCGCCAACCCATTGGGCGTAACTTTTTACTCATAGAACCTCGAGTGCCACATTCTCCGAGCAGCCAGCAGCATCGATCGGACCTTAAACGCGGTTCGGATCTTGCACCAGCGTGCCCTCGGCCTCCCGACGGCGGTGTGGAAATCCATCCGGCTGGCGCCGAAGCTCGGGAACGACGACAGAACAGCCGCCGCCACTTCTTCTTCCGTGATCCCCGGCGAGAAAAACAGAGGTCCCCATGGAGCAGGGGAAGCCGCCGCCGGCACCAGCGCCGTGTCCTCCGGTGCAGTAGCCGGCCATGAAGAGGACCCGCCGGATTGCAGCACCCATCCGCCGGATTCCTGCGGGATGGCGAAGTGTCCTGCGCTGCCGCCGCCGGAGAACTTGAAGCTCGCCGTTCGTAGGAATGGGCTGAGTTGGATGGGGCTGGTGCTGATGCTGTCGTACGACGATGAGCTTGTTGAATAATTGTTATTGTTGTTGAAATCCAGATGCAGGTCGGATTCGTCTGCAATGGTAAAAGGAAAGAAACTATTTCAATTATGGTAATTTGAGAATCGAGAGTTGAGGGAAGAACAAAGTGGTTAAAAAATAGAGGTGGGGTAAGAAATTATAAAGAGAATTTTTACCGTGGCGGAGGACGGGGAATTCGAGTTGGTGAAGGGTGAGATTGTTTGAGATGTGAAAGGGATCGGATTGGATTTGCGGCGGCGGCAGAGGGAGTTGCCGTGAGGGTCCGATTGCTGAACGAGAATCCATTGGGATCAAGCCTTCCAAGTTCCTGTAAGCTTGCTTCTTTGAGTTCTCCACCAGAACCTGAAAAAAGCGAGTGAAGCATTTTCGGTGAGATTTTGTTACCGTGTCAAGAATTGTAGAAGAGGATTTTAGTGATCAAAAGCGAGAAAGAAAGGTCGAATGGTTTTTACTTACTTTTTGGGGAGGGGTTAGTCTATCAAGAGGCTCGTAGCTCTGCCCATCGTCAAACATAGCGCCCACAAGCTTGTACACCGAATTGAACAGGAGCCTGAGGCCCTGAGCATGGTCGTTGTAGACGTAGAACTTGGTTTCATCCAACACACATGTATTAGCGTGTTGGACGATCGAATCCCAAATTCTATTCGAGATTCCACCTCCAAGAATCTATTGAAAAAAGGAGCAGAGAAATTAGTTGATTAAGAGTTTAAAATGAAGGTGAACAAGAAAGAAGATGGAGATTGATTAAGACAATAGCTCCTTACACTTCTTAGAGTAGTTTGGTCAATGACATAAGCCTTGAGAAATTCCTTCACCGTGCTGATTCCATTGGCAGACAGTCGCTTGTGGAACGCGCCTTCTTTTGCTATCCTCTCCAACCTCCAGACTTCGTCTCCCAACTTTGGCGGATAGTGCTTTTTGTACACTGAAAAAAATTCAATCCATATTATTCCACCTCACGAATTTTCATCTCACATACGGTCATTACAAAAAAAATATAAAAACCCATGTATTTTTCAAATACTCACATTCACCGCGGTGGTCCTTGACGACGAAAGGCTCGCTTCTAGCTTCCCTAATCCTGACAACCTCCCCAGAAGCACCTCCTCTCTGCACCGCCTTAGCTCCCAGCCGGAACCTCCTGCTCCGCTGCCAGCTGGAGTTGTCGGTGAAAACCACATCGCTGATCTGCCCAACTCCATCCTTCAGCACAATGCTGAGCTCCCCAGTCACCAGCGGCCTCCTCCCTTCCCTCTCCTTGATAACATTATCATTGAAATCCTTTGCGCACCAATCTTCTCCATCGTCACATCCGAAATCACCGTTCAGAACGGTGATTTCGATCTTCATGGATGACAGCGGGCCCGAGGAGACGATCGTGTTGGTCGCGGCGTCGAGAAGCACGATCCTCATGGGGTTCCCATCCTCCGCTTCGATCCTGGCGTTGGTAAAGATGCGGGAAGGAAGTTTGTTCACGAAGTGAAGGACCAGCCCCTTCTTCACCCCTGAGCCTTCAAAAGTCGTCCTGCAAAATACAACGCAGAAAAAAATGAGTCAACAAAATCTCTAAATAAACCCCCGTACGTCGCTAAAGATAACTTATTTGGTCATGGAAAGTAATTAACTGACCTGGAACCCAAGGATGATCGATGGCTGAGCACGCGGACAACTGTCTTCTCGACCTCTTCACGAATCTGCACAAGTGGTTGGAATCAAATTTTGAAACCATAAATATTAAATACTACTAGCTAGTGGAGAAGAATAAAAGGAAATGGAAAACTGAGAGAATTGTACGTTTATTATTTGTTTAAGAAGACTTTGACCAAGCCAAAGTCAGCTCGTCCAGCTTACTAGCTACTACTACAGCGACTACTTTTCTTCGACTGCTCATCAATGGCGGACGAAATAAAACAAACAAAAGAAGGAAATCCCAGAAAAGAAAAAGAAAAAGAAAAACAATATATATATATACCACTGATCGTAGAAAAGGTTCCATGCTGGAAGCGAAGTCCGCCATGGATTGCTTCCCAAGAACATCTCTCACCGCGCTGCAATAATATTGTTATTTTGATCAGAAACTAAACATTTGAAGATCGAAAGCAGAAAGTAGAGATGTAGTTTGTTTGGTTTCGTACTTTCTGAATCTCTTTGGAGAAGGGATGGATGATGATCTTCCACCGTTTTCGACGTTGTGTTCGTCTTCCCACTGAGCATCAAAGCGCCTCTTCGGCATCATTTTTCTTTTCTTGTTTTGGGTTCCGTTTTGTTTTCCAGGATCAGAGAATGTTGAGATTGGAGATGGGAAGGTTTTTTGGTTGAGGAGGGTATAAAATGATGAGTAATTAAAGACGAGGGTTGGCTTTGGGGATGGTTATATAGGGGCCGGAGAGAAGGTGCTTGGAAGGTTCGGTTGAAGGTAAACGTATTTATAACAACTTTGGGGACAAACATTAGAAATAACGCGGCCAAATGGCTATACTACAACCTTGCTTCTTGTGGCCTTCATTTTGTTGTGTCAAACTTTTGGGCGTGTTACTATGAGGTTTGAGTTTGGTTAGTTCAAAATATCGTTTTCCATAATGAGTCCCGATTGATTGTATATGTCTGAGGCTATCTTGTATTTCATCGAGAGAGTGCGCGATTTCAAGCATGCGCACCGTCTTTTAAAATAGCTTAATTTTGAATTGTCATAGTAAGGATTTTTTTTATGAACGAATTGTCATAGTAAGGATGACAAAGCGTTTAATACTGGAGTTTTGTTCGACTTAAGTATATGTCTGAATCTACCCGAATATGTGCTACAACTATGGTCTGGACTCACTCACTTCATTAATTCGATCATCCATATCTCTTCAACTATTATAATTATCTTTTAGACCCAAATCTTTATCATTTTCCTTACTATTATAAATAAATGTCTTGCCAACACTTAACAGTGACATTCTAATTTCCCCTCACATCATATGAAGAATTTTATATATGATTGTCGTCGGATAATGCATATGATATCTTCTAGAACCGCATACGAGTAGTTTTTGGTATGTAATATTCCCGTATACTTTTCATTACACAAATTACTTTGTATTAAATTGCGTTTTGGAGATGATACAAAATATATAAAACTCGCTCCACTCAAACTACTTGTCAGTTGTCACACTACATCCCCACCATTTCCATATACAATCTTGGGTGATAATGTAGTTTTCACAATGGTGGTCTCTTTGTTGAAAGGACAAAGAATATGGATTACGAGATTAGTACTTAATTTGAAAAAAACTGCATTATCACCTATCCAAATTAGAGAAAAGGAACAAACCGAAGTTGAAGAAACCGACTAGGACAAAAGACTGACATTCAGTTCAATGAAATTATGGACTCCCCCCCAAAATGAAGGAATTAGTTTTTATGATCTCTCACCAAACAAATTGACAATTACATAAGTTGTCTCTCTCACACTGTTTTGTTTAGTTTTCTTTCATTTTGAGCCATCATCAACATGGCAACCAAAAAATAAAATCTGGTTGGGATCCGTATGGCAGTACTCGATCGAGAAGAACAGCAACAAGGAAAAAAGGAGCACCACTCGTCCATATCAAGAAGCTTGGACGAAGATGGTACAATGGAAAAGTGGACAAAATAAATAAATAAATAAATGAAAACAAGTTCAATCTAAAGGTTGTTGAAACGAACCCTGTTAACAGTTTGGGCACTACTTCACAAAACAAGAATAGCAATCACAAAAAGTATTGATTAGAATAAAAAATAAATTGCGACTACTGGGAGATGCTACGATTTCAAAAGTTAGTTTAGTTCGATAAGTCGAGTACAATAGGTGCATTGAAAGGAATAATAAATTGCAGTTCAAGCTGAGTCGGATTGTTTTAGATATCGAGTCATGGAAAGTTACTCGTCATGAACATAATTTGTCCAAAGAATAGTAAAATTTTGAAAACATGTGATATAGGATCACATCATAATAAGTTACGATTCGTTACAAATTGTGATAATGTTGAATTGCAAGTCAATGTTGATCGAGCTAAGCATGGATACTTGCTAATTTGTTTTGCCAATGTGTTTGTCATGAGTCAGATGCTAGCACAACAAGATGGCGGGAAATTTAATATACATCCATGATACTACGTGCTGAATCAATGGTTAAAATTTGTAAGTAATACAAAATTCAAATGTGACACCAATCTTTTAGTCATTAAGAAACCGACCTTAACTTACAAGACGCTTTCAGGGTAAAGTGGAAGAGTTTTTGTGAGAATTTTGAAGATAAACATGCTCTCTCTGGTGCACTGCAAGGATGTGTGACCTTAGATTCTCCACAATGTAGTTGGGTTTAGGGGGAAAAGTGGGAAAATAACCCACAATGTGGGTAGGAAAAGTGGAAAAGATGGAGAAAGGGGGGAAATTGGGTGGGAAAAACTCACATGTAGGGGATAAAAGGTGCGGGGAAGGGGTGGGGGCGGTGGGCCCCGTGGGCTGGTGGTGATTTTTTTGTTTTTGATTTATAGGTTGTTTGTTTTGTTTTTGTGTCCAATGTATTATTGTGAAGAAAAAACTATGTCCAAATTAAAAAAAATTATATCGAAATGTTCATATTAATTAATTATCACTAAATACGTAAAAATAATGATCATTATATGAATATAAAATAACAAAATCAACTATAGATTGATTTTAATAAAAAGTGTTAACCCAATTATCCACTTTATCCACCCTCACATTGTGACCAAAACCTCTCCTCCCCCTCTTTTTCTATTTTCCCCCACACCCACATTAAGGATGGTATTATGAGAAGTCATCCTGATATGCGCCATAAGGAAAAATCCATGAGATTCAGAACTCAAAGTGAATAATATCTTGTCGGAATTTTTTTTTACACAAATCATGAAAACTACAAATGAAAAAAAACCTCATTTTAGTGATTCAAATAATAGAAAACAAGCATCCATGTGAGAGTGAAAAAGACTGAGGTAATCCGTGGAGTGCTACTCGATCTCTTGCCTTGCGGGATTTTTTTCATGACCTGGGTCTCCATGACCACAGTTACCTGGGTGATCAATTCCTATGAACAAACAAATGTATGGGTGCGGCTTGTATTCGTGAGAGTCTGGACAGAGCTCTGTATTCACAGTTCTGGATTGATAGCTACCCAGATACCATGGTCAAACACTTTACGGATAAGGGGTCTGATTATCGAGCTCTTCTTTTATCCGATAAGCCTTACGTTCGTAATATTCGTCCCCTCTTTCGATTCTATGCCCGCTAGGCGGATAATCCAGAGGTTAGGGCTATGGTGAATTACATTTGGCAGGAGGAAATTCAGGGTACTTCATTGTTTCGCCTCTAGGAAGGTCTTAAGAAGCTTCGTCATTTGCTCTATGACTGGAGTAGGGCGGGCATTACGAATTCCCTACGCAACATTAAGACTCTCCAGGCTGAAATTGACCGAATAAAATTAGTCCACCCAATTGATTGGGATGAGGTCCGTAAGCTGGAAATTGAGTTAGCTAGACAATGGGAGGCGGAGGAGTTGTACTAGCAGCAAAAATCTAGAGTCCGATGGCTGAAGAAGGATGATAAAAATACCTCATATTCCACACAGTTACGAGGGCGCGTAGAAAACAGAACTTCGTATCTGGCCTTCGCAATGACAGTGGGGAATAGATCATTGAGGAAAATGGAAAGACAAACATTGCCAATGATTTTTGTCAGACACTTTCCACCTCGGAGAACTAGGTGCTGAATATGACTGATCGGGTGGCCGATCTTCCTATAGCCAATAGTGTTTCTCCATAAATGAATGCCAGTCTTACGGCTGAAGTCCTTCCTAACGAAGTGAGGCAAACGGTCTTCTCCATGGGATTGAAGCAGGCTCCTGGATCTGATGAGTTTATGGGAAATTTTTTAAAGATTTTTTGGGACATTGTTAGCGAGTCAGTGATTGAAGTTGTATGCTAGAGGACGGGTACGATGCTCCGTAGCTTTAATCATACCTGGCTGACTTTGATCCCCAAAGTCGATAATGTGGAGACGATGAGACAACTCCGACCTATTAGCTTATGTCAGTTTGTGTACAACTTGCTTGCCTCTTAGCATAAATCATTTCGGATGGCCAGAATGCTTTTATCCGTGAACGGCCAATAATGGACAATATCCTCCTTGGTCATGAGTTAATGTACTACTTGAAAATCAAAAAGTGTGGTAAGAAAAGGGTACATGGCTCTAAAGGTTGACATGGAAAAGGCCAATGATAGAGTCGAATGTCTGTTTCTTCTTGCAGTTTTAGACAAGATGGGCTTTAACTCCATTTGGAAAGGTTGGGTCCATGAGTGCCTTAGATCAACTTCATTTTTGGTTTTCATACATGGCTCCCCTTCAGGGTACTTCACACCCTCCAGGAGACTTCAACAGGGAGATTCTCTCTCCGCTCTCCTTTTTGTGATATGCACGGAGGGGTTCGCAGCTCTCCTTAGGAAATCCATCTCAGATAGGAAGTTTGAAGGGGTTACATTGGCTCATCGCGCTCTCCGAATCTCGCATGTGTTTTTTGCAGATGACTCGTATTTTTTCCTTAGAGGCTCTTTCCAAGAATTTGAAAACTTGCTCGAGGTGTTGAATGAATATGAGGAACTAGTGGCTAACGGGTGAATTTGGCTAACTCGACAATTTGCTTTAGTAAGAATATTACTCTGCCGAACAAGGATTTCTTGGCTCAGATCCTAGGTATCGGGGGGATTGGGGTCCATGATAAATATGTGGGGTTACATACGCTGATAGCCAATCCAAAATGGCTACATTCCATTATTTTGTGGAGAAGTTGCTAGAGCGACTACAGGGTGGAAGCATCGGACTTTGTCTTGGGAAGGTAAGGAGACCTTGATTAAATAAGTTGCTCTAGCCTTGCCATTACATGTTATGTCTTGTTTCAAACTTTCGCTTTATTTGTGTTGATTTTTAGAGAAACATGTGGCTAGGTTCTGGTGGGGTGTTGAGGAGGGCTAGTCGAGGATTCGGTGGATGTCCTGGCGCAATATGTGCAGAAGTAAGCATGATGGGGGGATGTGATTCTGAGGATTTGAACATTTTAATCAAGCTCTTCTAGCCAAAATTGGATGGCGTATCCTCAATGAACCCCAGTCCCTCCTAGCTCAGGTTTACAAAGGGAAGTAGTTTCCTATTGGGACCTTCCTTACGGCTACGGCGCGCTCTCGACCATCATGGGGTTGGCAGAGTTCTATGGACGACAGTTGTTAGAAATGGGATTACGATGGCAAATTGGGAATGGTCAGAAGGCTTCACTGCTTCATTCCAATTGGAAACCTCGGATACATCCCTCTCCATTAATATATAATACTCAAGTGTTACCTGAAGGAGGTGATCATCCAG